ACCAGTCTAGTTAAGAAGATGAGAAGGATGCCAGTGACGAAGCGGCGCAGCAACATTGGTAAGCACATGAGCTGGCAGCGGAGAAGAGTGAATTGTGAATGAAAAGAAGACGAGAATACGAATGTTATCGTAGCCAGCATGTAGAATTACCTCAAAATCGACACCAAAGCAAGCGAAAAACGTGGTGAGGAGCCATGGGCGCTTGATAATAAGGGCGCGTTAATCAAGAGTCAAGTATCGCACTACAAGCCAGCGCAGGACTTGCTTATCCCATCCTTACACCCTGGGTACCCGGACTATACCGCTATGCACGATAAAAGAGAACAACGCGGCATGGATCTCGCGGAAGATTTCACCTCTCACAGACAGAGCCATAGCGGTTCACTTTCAGCGACAATAATCGGCTATAACCTGGCAATAGCCTGACTCATCGAGGATTTTATAAACGCTTTGTCTCCCTACTTCTCTTCTCCTGCTCTTGCCGTCGCCTTCAACCACACGCAAAAGCGTAGAAGTTCTAAACGAACCTCAGCCCTACTATGAATCCACCTCTCTCAGCCCTGAGAAACATCGGACATGGCCCGAAGATCGATGTCTCGCAGGTCACTGTTTCTCTGATTCAATGGATTATCGCCGCCGCCATGGCCTCGGGAGTCTTCTTCGTGTGGCTCAAGGTACGAACTTCCGGAGCTTTTTCACATGAACTGGGAGCTATATATACTGTGACCGACAGGCTCCAAAGAGGCCCCAAAGGCAGCCTGCTGTCTCACCCCCTGTCCCGAGTACGCCGACTTATCTTCAGAAACCAATGGTGCAAGTCGACAATGGTCAGATTCGCGTGACCAAGATCTTGGTGCACCCTATCAAGGTGTGTGGGTATGTGGGCAGCTACTAGCGGATTAGTCTGTGCTCACCGCATGACAGAGTTGCCGTGGCACAAGCGTTAGGGAGGTGCGGTATACACCGCAGGGCCTCGAGGTAAGCTCGGGCGTTGTACTATCTCACGCTAGCCAGGTCTATCCTACAATCATCCAAGCTGTCTCCTTGCTGTTCCGCTTGTTCACAGGGCTGTCATACTAGAGTCCTCGGAAGCTCACGAATTACATTGCAGAACGATAGGAAATGGGCCGTTCTCGATTCTGTCGAGAACAAGATCTTGACGGCTCGTGAACTCCCGAGGCTTGTCCTTGTCGAACCGGAGCTGCGGTGCGACGCCTCGTCGCCGACGAAGGGCAAGCTCGTCGTGACAGTCCGGCCGGATTCCGGCCCAGTATCATTCGCGGTGCCTATTGAGCCGACGCCAGACATGCTCTCTCAGTGGGAAATGTAAGGCACATATTCTCTTCATCCGGGGTAGATCTCCAGACTAACTGTGAGTAGTGTCAGCGACACATCACTCTTCGACAGGTCGGCACAGGATGCGTATATCGTCCAGTCTCTCTCGCGCGGTGGTCCCTCGCCCTCTCAGATCCTTTCCGACTTCCTTGGCCGTCCCGTACACCTCATAGTGAAGGGGCCGACTCCACGATCCTGCTTGCCAACGCACGCGTTCCCGACATTGAAGGCGACGGCAGTCTTCCAGGTACGTACCTCTCGTTGGCAGCGCTCTTGATGTAGCCACTGACATCAGCTCAGGACGGTTATCCCGTGCTCTTTGCGAGCGAGGAGAGCCTCGAAGCCGTCGCGCAGGCCGTAAACGACACTGCGAAAAGCGGTCCTGACTCACCTGGCGCCCTTGGGAAGATTGGCGGGATGGACCACGCGCGGTGGGAGAAGGAGAAGGTCCCAATTGAACGGTGGGTAGTTCTCGCAGTGTTGGGTCGGACACACGTTCTGAGGCCTTCCGAAGCTTCCGTCCGAATATCGTCGTCCGCGGTGCCGGTACCCCCTTCTCTGAGGACATCTGGGAGAAAGTCTACGTCACTCCGCGGGGCAGCAACACGAAGGACGAATCCCGCTCGTTCACGCTCGTCTCACGTTGCGCTCGCTGCCTTGTACGTATCCCGTTCACATTGATTTGGACCGAGCGATAAGCTGACACCGGGTGAAAGCTTCCGAACGTCGACCCGGCAACAGGCGTCCGCGATGCTG